GTTGATCGTTTTCTTTAAAAAATACTCTTCGATTAGTTTAGATCGGTATTTCGGATCGTTATCCTGCTGGAATATCCATTTTCGTGGCATATGTTTCTTGACATAAGGTAACATTTGTTTTTCTAAAATATCCTGATAAATGAATCGATCCATTGTACCTTCTACACGGAATAAGGGACCGGTACCCTTAGCGGAGAAACACCCCCAAACCATGACATGCCCCCCACCATGTTTTACAGTAGGTACTTAATATCGTGGGTTATTTCTTTCATTTTTGGGGCGACGAACATATTTTATGCCATCAGAAGATACCAGGTTGAATTTACTTTCATCGCTCCATAACACTTTAGACCAATCTTTAACTGTCCAGTTACAATGCGTATTTGCAAACTCAATCCTAGCCTTTCTATTTCGCACAATGATGAAAGGTTTCTTGCTAGGACGACGACCTAGTAAACCGTGGTCCTTAAGTCGACGTTTTACAGTTTAAACATGAATATTGATTCCATGATCTTGTTGTAATTCACGAGTAATGTGCTGCGCAGATTTGCGCGGATCAGCGACTGATATCATTTTGATAATTCTGTCGACTCTTACAGATGTTTTCCGAAGCCGTTCTTGACGAGGCTTATTATTTACATGACCTTGAACTTGTTGTCGATGATTCCAGACACTCACTAACTGCCGAGATATACCAAAACAACGGGCAACTTCTGATTGACAGCGTCTCTCTTTCAAAGCATGTATTACAGCTTCCTTAAAGTCAATAGAATATTCTTTTCGTTGCCTTTTGGCCATAACTAACTTATACTATCTAAAACAAGTATAATATTGACACGTATATGTTTAAGAGATAATTACTTGCAGTAAATAAATGTGTAAAAAGACTTTTGATCTATCAATCACAAATATTATTTGTAAATAAAATATTTCTTAACTAATAGTGAAATATTAATGGCACATAAGGAGCTAGCACGGATGTCTTAGTGCTATTAAATACTAATATAAATTTAATATTAATATTAATAACTCGAACCCCTGGAACCTCTCCACTTTCCGGGCGGGACGCCTTTCCATTCGGCCACCGAGGCTTCGACAGTAATCCCGCAACACAATGTTTATAAATTCTCTAAGATGTAAGGTGAGAAAGAACGAAAGAGAGAGATTCCAGGTTCGAGTCCTGGCGGAGGCAGTTTTTTCGCAACATATATAAAAAAGGAATCTATTTGAGTCTTCGGTTTAATGGGGATTTGGAATTTTAATTAAAATATATATTTAAATTTGGGACTCAAGGATCGGTCTAAGTATGGAAGGTTGATTCTCCGCGTACGTTAGTCGAAGAGAAAATTTCGATATGTGCGTTTGACATACTGGACATTTTTATCCTCCCACAATCATATTAATATTAAAATTATATCAGTATTTAATAGCAATAAGACATCCGTGCTAGCTCCTTATGTGCCATTAATATTTCACTATTAGTTAACTCTATAAAGGAACGTTCTAAAATATTTCTTACTTAAATCTGAAGATGAATCCAAGTTATAACGAAAAGTACATCCGTATTGTACAAAGGTCAACGAATAACTGAACTGATAATAGCACTGTTGGAAAATTAAATCAGGAAAACTGACTGTCAAAAGACTTTTGAGCGCTATTGTAATTGCAAATGAAAATAAAAATAAAAAAGCAAAGGGACGACGCTACTCCGAAGACGAGAAAAGGTTTGCTCTGACGTTATATTATCATTTGCCTAAAGCATATGACTATTGTAAGTTAACATGATTTCCCTTTATTGTTCTTTCTTTAATGGTTTAATGATTAATATCTTTATGCATTAAGAAGTCTATATACATTTACATGAGATTGTATGAATCCCCGTAGAAGATAATGATTGCTACGAGACATTTTGACAGCGTGCATCATATCCATCACTGGAAACGTAAAACTGCTCAACTTTAAACTTTTCCTTCTGTAATGTACAGTAAATAAGTTCGATTTTAAAATATTATTTAAATATTATATATTATTATATTACGTATAGTTTTTAAGTTTCAAATTATTATATATTATAAGGTGTAGTAAAAAGAAATCCATTATTTTTGCATGAAATTGAAGGCTTTATTTAGCATAGTTAGAATGATCCAATTTAGGTCAAATATGCACCGTTTTGTTCGATAACTTGTTGCCATTTTGAAGGTAATTCCATTATGCCTCTTTTATAGAAACCCTTGTCCCTATCGGCAAAAAACTGGGACAGTCGATTTTCATAAGCTTCTCTTGAGGCGAATTTTTCACCAGCAAAATTATTCGCCATAGACAGGAACAAGTGATAATCACTTGGTGCCAGGTTCGGACTATAAGGTGGATGCATGAGAACCTCCCAACCAAGCTCCCGGAGCTTCTGGCGAGTCACTATCGATG